CAAGCAAGGGTAGTACCAATAGTAATAGGCGCCTTGGGTGCAATCCCAAAACAACTGGAGCACCACTTGAACACCATCATCGGCATTGACAAATTCGCCATTAGTCAATTGCAAAAGGCGGCCTTACTAGGAACTGCTTCCATCCTGCGACGATATCTGTAATACCATCAAACATCCACATCTGCCTATCCCAGGTCCTTGGGAAGGACTCGACAGGTAGACAAAAATGCCAAATCCAGTCTGAACACCTAGCTGACTGTGCGATGATTAATAATAATAATAATAATAATAATAATAATAATAATAATAATAATAATAATAGAACACCATTGGTATTGACAAATTCGCTATTAGTCAGTTGCAAAAGGTGGCCTTACTAGGAACTGCTTCCATCCTGCGACGATATCTGTAATACCATCAAACATCCACATCTGCCTATCCCAGGTCCTTGGGAAGGACTCAATAGGTAGACAAAAATGCCAAATCCAGTCTGAACATCTGGCTGACTGTGCGATGATCCATCATCATCATCATCATCATCATCATCATCATCATAAAGTTGGAAGGGACCTTGGAGATCATCTAGTCCAACCCCCTGCTCAGGCAGGAAACCCTACACCATCAGTTGAAACAGTCCAGGCCCCACCATCAATTCTTCCCCTCCTAATTAGGATTGCTGCTGTTCTAGAAGCTCTTGTGGTATGGAACCACGATCTTCTGAAGCTCTTCATTCTTCATTACTTAAATTGATCAGCTGGGTCTTGTGAAAGGATTTGCTCTCTGTATCTTCAATCTTCAGCAGGACGTCACCACGAGCAGAATCTTGTTTGAGGGTAAGTGAGGCTTAATGTGTTATGACTTTGTGAAAGTGTGCCTCTTTGGCAAAGTAGACAGGCAATTTTACTTTCACCAGTAAGAAGAGTATATTTGTAGATCAAGATTGAACAGTGGGATCCTTGGTGCTCTATGAGCTTGGTTGTTTTCTTGCAGATGTTTCATGACCCATCTAGGTAACATCATCAGTCCTGGAAATGAAACATCTGCAAGCAACCCTCCAAGATACTCAGAGAGTATCAAGGACCCCACAATTTTATTTATTTTTATTAGGAGTGCTGTAGTGTGATCAAAAATTCTACTTGTTCACCAGGGGATGCTCCATTTTGTTCACCAGGGGATGCTCCATTTTGTATTGATTTTTTACACAAATGATGTGTAAAGATGTAGATTAACTATGGGCCCTGCTGTATGAATTCTTTCCTCAGCTTTATCAGCTGTTGTCCCATTTATTTTTCAATTGAATTCTTGGAATCTGGTTCTGATGGAAAAGAAAAGATGATGGTTGTGGTGTGAATGCCTGTAGAAGCACAAGGGTGAGTGAAGGCACTCAACCCATCATCCATTGTGAGCCAGAATTAGAAACATGACACCATTGGAGCTCCAGAATGGAAAAGATGGAGACGTTCCGGTCTCAATAAAAGAAAATATTTATAGCTCAGGGTTGAACTGTGGGCTCCTTAGTGCTCTCTGAGCTTGGAAGTTTTCTTGCAGACATTTCATCACCCAACTAGGAGACATCATCAATGCTAGCCAGTTCTAGTATTTTTTAATTCAAGTTTCACATCATGTGATAAAATTTAGTCAAGAGATATTGTGCTTTTGTTTCTTTTTTTCCAGGATGCACAATTTAAAATTGTGCCCCTTAGTCTACGTCCCCAATGAAGATCTTAGGACGTGATGGTTACAATCTGGCTTCCATTTGAATCTTCTTGTTCTTCCATGGAACATGATATCCAGATGTTGGTCAGCTACTCTAGACCTCATCACCCATTTCCAACCAGGCTGAATACAGTGGAACTAGCAGCCATCGTGAAATTAAAAGCCACTCTTCTAGATGCGCTTTACCAAGGGGAGAGATGTTCCCGAGAGCTGGGAATCTTTGGCCATCCTTTGAAATGCAAAACTCATTTGAATTTGGAAGATTAAACACCGCAGATGGAAGATGGAAATGGAAACAACTAGCGGTTGGAATTTTGGAGACAAGGACTTTTGAGTTGGAATCAGCTGGTATGGAACCTTTCAAAAATTGGTCTTGTGGAAACCGGATGGACGAACTGTTGCCTGTTTCTAGAATTTTGTATGTTTCTAATTTTTTTTTTTTAAAAAAAGCTGGAAGTATGGTGTTAAGTCTCCAGTGTATGTTCATTCGCAGAAACCTAAGCGTTTGATTAAAAGCTGTCCCTGTTTGTTCCTTTTTAATGGCTGGCACAGCAATGCACAATTTTTTTTGTGAGCTTTTTTTTTTTTGCACCAGTATATTCATTATTGGTTAATTATACTCATTTCTTACATTTTACTCTCCGCTCAGTGTGACAAACGTGGTTTCCTACTTTTCTATGTAGGAAAAAAAACCAGTTACAAATCAACTCATCTCACTGATTTTTCAGCTCTTCTGTAGGCCACTGATCTCTTTAGAAAAGAAAAAAAACCCAGCTGAAAGTCTATTTGCAATTATCTTCACTTCTGCCAGCTCAGAAAACTGAGAACAGGAAGACACCACTTTAGGTCCAACAACAATAGTAAAAATTGCTTCATTTCACACTAAAGGAAAATAGGAAAAAAAATCACCATTCAAAACATTACAGGTCAATAAGAACAGTGATTCTTCTTCTTCTTCTTCTTCTTCTTCTTCTTCTTCTTCTTCTTCTTCTTCTTCTTCTTCTTCTTCTTCTTCTTCTTCTTCTTCTTCTTCTTCTTCTTCTTCTTCTTCTTCTTCTTCTTCTTCTTCTTCTTC